CAGTTACTGTCGTTGGGTACTGGTTTAGTAATATATGTGTGTGTGAGAGAGAGAGAGAGTCAGATTCATACGAGAACAGTAACCAAATAAGAGAATAATAAATATGTTGAATCATTTGTGATTTTATTCTAAAATCATGTGTAACATGCTTGAGGCCGCAGACCATGTTGCCCACATACTTTTGTGTTGGCCGTTAGTGTAAAATCACATACGATTGTGTACGTGATTTGACCGTTTTTGTATTCTCTTATTTAGTTATTGTTCTCATTTGAACTTCACACACACACACACACATATATATATATATGTGTGTGTGTGTGTGAAGAATCGTGTGAGAAAGAGAGTTAAAATTAGAAGTATAAGAAGAGATCTGGATCATTGATCACCTTTAATCTTAAGTTCACTCATGAATCGCACTTGAAACGGGGATTAATGCAGTGCATCTCATCCTAATGTGCATCCAAGTTAGAGATCACTTCTTACGCTTCTTACCTTAACTCTTTTTCTTATCGGAGCCCAACCCTATGTATATATGTATATAGGGGAGGGATCATTTGCAAACTTCTCATTTGTACAAACTCTACAAACCATCTTCAAGATTGATTTCATTGATTAAAGGTCAAGATTGAATGGGTCTATATATGTCAATAATTTTTCAGTAAGGACCATTAATTAGAAGATTACGAAAGGGCAAAATGGGCAAACAAAATTAAACCTTATTCATGGTAAGTAATGAAATCTCTCTAAACAAAGAAACAATTTACATATTATCTCTCCTAATTGATCTTCATTATCCACCGATAGATCCCTCAAAGGAAACGGCTTACTCATTATTCTCTTCTAATTAATCTTCATTATCCACCAATTGATGAAAAATACATGACTTCTAATTAATTGCATTCATAAAACTAAACATGAAACTCGATTTTATTCATGAAACAATAACAAAATCTAATTTCATTCATATTTCATAGCTGAAATATTGTTTTCATATTTACTTTTTCATTGCTGAAAATAATGATAATTATGAAATAGTGGTTTCATATTTCTTTTTTATTGTTGAAAATAATGAAATATGAAAAGAATAATAAATTTTCTTTCCATGAATAAACAGTTAATGAAAATTTCAAATTATTATGGAGTTATTAATTACCGTAATTAACTGGTAAACATAAAAAATGACGATTTAGTCTTTAAAATAAAATTAAAAAAATGGATATCTGATTGGTTTATTTAGGTTTGTATAGTTTATACAAATAGAGAGGTTTGCAAATGATCCCTCCCCTATATATAGGGGATTAATCATTTGAGAACTCTATATATTGTGAAACTGTGATAACTTTTATCTTAAGTTATTGTTTGACATGATTCTTTTATCATCCAATGCTAGCATTTAATGTATTGAAAAACATATATTTGTTTCACTATGTGTTTGTTTCGTATGTATGCGGTTCATAATGTAAAAAAAAATTACGTGTAACTTTTATTTTACAAATAGGCTTAAAAGGTTCACATTGTGAAATAACTATATGTTAAATGATATCCTAAATCCTAGTCTTAGTTGAAAAAATATCATATGAAATAACACATGATGCATTAGTTATCAAGGTTATCAAAATTTAATAGGTTCTCATATATAGCCATAGGTTATTTTGAGAAGTGGTAGATATTAAGAAGTAAATAAGTGATTCTAGCCCTTTGAACGGTCAAGACCGGATTTGATTGGTCAAGAATTGGGGTTTTGACGGGTCAAGAATTACGGCTTTGATTGGTAAAATGTATGGCTATGCGAAAAATAAAAAGGATAGTTTTATAACTTTTACAAATAGGTGGCAAACAAATTCATATGTGAACCTGTGTGATTCACATATAAACAATATGTTCATATGTGAACCCTTGTAATATATATATGAATTATTTTAACTGATTCACATATGCACTAATTAACTGATTCATATATTCACTCTTATGATTCACATATGAGCTAATTAACTGGTTCATATGCGAATCAGTTAAATAGTTCACATGCGAACTAATTAATGAGTCACATATAAACATATGGTTCATATGTGAATCATATAGGTTCACATATGAACCCGTTTGCCACTTATCTGCAAAAGTTACGAAACTACCCTTCTACCTTTCCGTGTACCCATGCAAGAAATAATTCGATGCTTCACAGTCAAAGTCACAAATGTTCAACAGATGAAGCACTAGAATCACTACTTTATTTCTCAAATGAACATTTCCCTATATAACATATTATGGTACGATAGATCATTCCCAAACTCGCCTTGGGTCTTGGAAATCAACCCCCAACCCCATCTCGTAGTCCCGCCAACCGCGAAGGCCAAAGTCCGTGCTCTATCAAGGTGTGACATGTACCTACAAGTTAAATCTTATCATTACTTTTAAAAGTATGTTTCTTATAACATGTGTTTTTCAATCTAAAAAACCTTAAAATAGAAATTTCCTAAATTATAAAATATATTTTTTAAAAATATATTCCCCAAAAATAACAATAAGATAAAAGAATAGGTGTTAGAATAAATTGAAGATATAAATATATGATTTTATATAAAATAAAAATATAAAATTAATTAAAAATAAAATAAAAAACAATAAAGATAAGGTTGCATCTAAAAGTGTGTTGGTAAGTTCACATGGATGTTAAAATTGTGTTTGTCCATTACATTTTGAGATAAGAAACTAGACAAGATGTTTTCCTGCACATTAAACAAACATATACAAATCTCTTCCCTTTTCTTTTATCTCAATTTCCATTTTCTTTTATTATTTTTAATTTCACATTTTTTTTCAAATTATTATTATTAATATTAATACCTGTTATATCAGATTAAACAATGACTATATCTATAAAAATTATACTGATGGTTTTATTTGATCGACTGATGTTTTCCTTAACTCTATATTTCTTTTCTGAAAACTGATAAATAATAATGCATGAGTAAAATAAATATTTAATTTAGTTTATTGGAGGTTGTTACAACTCTGGTTAACGTTGTTAGTCAAGTGTGTTTAAGGGGCCGTTTACCAAACACTTACCCGATAAGTGCTTACCGGTAAAATTTAAAACTATTATTTACTTACCGGGTAAGATTTTGGTCTACCAGAACGACGTCATATGGAATAATTTGCCCGGGTAGGCGCTTACCGTGGTAAGAGTTTTTGCCATCACTTACCGGATAAGACTCTTGGTCCTTGTCTCGCTCTTACCAGGTAAGATTTTTGGTCCTTACCATATTCATCCGGTGAGGTAGTGTAACTTGGTAAGCGCTTACCCGGGTAAGCGTTTGATAAACGGCTCCTAAATCAATCATGTACTCCTCGCGTGAGCATCGAGGCATTTTTGTCTATTTATCCATCGTCTTTTTTAATTCAAGAACCCTAATTTTATTTTAGTTTAATTTCTTTTATGTAAACACGGATTTAAATACAAATTCAAGAATATCAAACCCTAAATCAGGAACCAATTGATGCAAAATCCATGTTCAAAACTAGAAAATGGTTGGAACCCAGATTCAAAACCAAAAAGATTGAGATGACATAAAGCTATTCCATACCCAGATAACCGGAAAGCAAAACCCAAGGGAAGAAAATACAAACTTAAATTCAATTAGGGTTTCACCGAACAATAACACAACCGAATTGTGGATTTTTTGTTGAAGTACCGGTGCATACATACATTTCAAATCAAGAAAAAATCTCTAAAATCACAAACATTCATAAAATAAAAACCCTAAACAAGTTTCTAAATCATAAAAATCAAAACCCTAAACAAATATGGATTTAGAAAGCTGCTTCAAAAACCAAAAGATGGTTATTAGTGAGCTCAATCCAAAATTAGTTGCTTCGAAAATGAGAAGAGGGTCGGAGAAGGGGATGGGTTCACCGGAGGAGAGAGGAGATGGCCCACCCCCTGTGCAATTTCGAATGTCGTGCCTCCAAAAACCAGAAGAAAGTGGCCCTCACCACCCGTGTAGCAACACCATTGTACCACCAACAATCTTCCTCTAAAACTCCGGCCATTGTACCTCTCTACACTATCCACCCTCATCGAGAATACGGTTTACATTTATATGATATTTAATATTAGTTTATTATATAGAGCGAGGGGGGGCGCTTTCAGATCGTGTGAGAATAAGAGTTATGATGAGAGAGACTTAGGAACCTATATAAGAATTCTAAATATTGTAGGAAATCACCACGTCCCGTGGGTGAACTCGATCAACTCATGATACTTCCTACCATTCCTATCAAAATTCAATTTCCTGACGGAACCTAACCGTATAGTAAATGAAATACAAACCAATCTTATCCATCTATGCAAAATATCAACGACATGGATTAATGTGATCCCTGAATTTACTCTCAACTACATCAGAAACTGATTTCACAACCGTATAAAACTTTCAAAATACACAAATCAATTGTCAAAATAGAAATCATCGATATAATTAATTAAATTTATAGACCAAAACCAAAAAACAACCGAAACATAAAGACCAACAATGTTATTACACAATTAGTTACATAAATGGACAAGCATGGAAAGGATAAGGGTGGTAGTAGCCGCTTGTTAAATATTGCAAATGAACTTAACACATGACCCCATAATCATATGTTTCAAATTAAAATTATAATAATTAATTATAAAACTTAAAATTAAAAGATAAATGCATGTGTAAGTGTAACAAAATCTTGTTAAATATTTTATAATAATATGATTCAAAGTCAAACTAATATTTTTGGATTGTGATTTACCCGCGTTGCATCGTACGGATACACCGCTAATGATATAATATAGATTATAAGTTTATACAATAAGATCACAAAATTTGAAGGATTTATCATCCAATCGCAAAAAGATTCTCCCAATTGGCCCCACTCCCCTTTCCTCTTTTCCCCATAAGTATCCCCTTCACATTCCTCCTTCTCTTCACGCTTTTCAACTCTCTCTCTCTCTCTGTTATTCTAAAATGGAGCTCCGAGGTTTGGGCTACATTCTCATGTTAACTGCAATTTTGACGGCCGTCAACGCTCGTATCCCCGGAGTTTACACCGGTGGACAGTGGGAGACCGCTCACGCCACCTTTTATGGTGGCGCTGATGCATCCGGCACAATGGGTCTGTCTGCATTTGCCTTAATTTCCCCCTTTTCTTATTATGATTTCCTTAATTCAAATCCAATTCCCAAAGACAAAGCATCACAATATCTTCATTTCTTCAAGCAAATCCTTTTTAATTTTGTACTAGTGGTCTGATTGGAGTTGAATTTGGGTGGATTTTTTCAGGTGGAGCATGTGGGTATGGGAATTTGTACAGCCAAGGCTACGGCGTCAACACGGCGGCACTAAGCACAGCGCTGTTCAACAATGGCTTGAGCTGCGGCGCTTGTTTTGAGCTAAAATGTATCGATGACCCTCAATGGTGTCATCCCGGCAACCCTTCCATTCTCATCACCGCCACCAATTTCTGTCCGCCGAACTTTGCTCAGCCTAGCGACAATGGAGGTTGGTGCAATCCCCCTCGCCCCCATTTCGATCTCGCCATGCCCATGTTTCTCAAAATCGCTGCTTACCGTGCCGGAATCGTCCCCGTCTCCTACCGCCGGCAAGTCATAATCTTCACTCCGTGATCAACCAGATACGATGTTAATTAGTTACCCCTGTTTAACAACTAAATTACAATTTTCTTTTCTTTTCTTTTCTTTCAGGGTGCCATGCCGGAAACAAGGAGGGATAAGGTTCACAATTAACGGTTTCCGTTACTTCAATCTGGTTTTGATCAGCAACGTCGCCGGTGCCGGCGATATCACCAAGGCATGGGTGAAAGGTTCGAACACGGAATGGATGAGTCTTAGCCGGAACTGGGGTCAAAATTGGCAGTCAAACGCAGTGTTGATTGGACAGTCACTTTCGTTCAGGGTGACAGGCAGTGACGGTCGCACTTCCACCTCGAAGAACATAGTACCTCCGAATTGGCAATTCGGGCAAACTTTTACCGGGAAGAATTTCCGGGTTTAAGGATTCGAATCGGGTTCGGTTGGCGGGTGAAATATTTATGTATTTTAAAGAAAAATATATATATATTTCTATTTTTAGGAGAGTGCTTTTTGACTACTAAGAAGTGCTCTTTTTCGTTGTAAACGGAGCTGAAGCGGCTATGCTTCCTCGCATCGTAGGGGCCCGCAGCTTTTATTATCTCTATATAAATATACATTTCACAATTTTATCAATTTCATGTTTTTTTTCTTATTTTCTTATTTAAATTTTTGTATATCTAAGAGTTAAGCTAAACTCTTCTCTAAAATAGAAAAACAAAGACAATGGAAAAAGTGGTTCTCACACCTTTTTTTTGGCCGTTACATAAAATCACGCACGTGATTTGACCGTTTTCGTGTTCTCTTAAATTGTTAGCATTCTCGTTTGGTATTTCTTGTATATTGGATATTGCTCTAATTTCATGTTCTTTATGGGTTTTCTTTAAACAATGGATGTGTGGCTAGATTCAGTTTGTGCTTGACTCGACTAATTCTATGGATTTTGAAGTAAATAGATGATAAAATTTTCAATGATTTCAACAAGAAGTTAATATGTTGTTATATTATATAATTGTTACATTATATTATGTGAATATTATAACATCCATACCATTTTTATTTGTATGTTGATATCATTGTGTTATATTGTGTGGAAGTTACAATATAGAGTACATTCATTATTCTTGCTACAGATTGTAAAGCAATGTAGATGTATTTTTATTTATTTCATGATTTTATGAAGAATGTGGTGGTTTTATGAAACCCGAATTGTATATATTGGCCACAAACTACAAAAAAGTATGTAATTTTAGATCTCAAAAACAGAACATAAGAAATTTTACTATGAGAAGAATAACGACTATAAATATGTCAAGATTATAACAAAAACCTGATTGTTTTTGAGTAAAACTGAACCGAATTTTTAAACCAAAAATATAATTTAGAAGTTACAGAAATTTGTACAATTGGAACTAAGAACATGGTACTTGGGCTTATGAATTTGGAACAAAGATAAAAACACAAATTGAAACAAAAAAAAAAGATGATTTTTAAGATGTTGCATTTCTTTATTAGGATCAAATATAAGTATATATTTCCGGTTTTTTAATATTCCACAAAATTATAATATTTTTATGTTATCGGATAATTTGAAAATTATTTGATTCGTTTATAACAATTTAACATTCTAAGCCACGATTTTAATGGCGTGGTTCAACTTGATGTTAGGTTTCTAGTTTCAACACGGTAATTTAACGTTTACAGATAAGGGTTAAACATTTTTATTCAACTTAACAGGTAAGATTTTAGTCCATTAAAACGACATTATATGCAACATTTTTTTCCGGTAAACGCTTACCGTGTAAGAATCAGCATTCTCACTTAGGAGCCGTTTACTAAACACTTACTTGGTAACTGCTTACCGGATAAATTTCCTCATCGGATGAACATGAGAAGGGTCAAGAGTCTTACCGGGTAAGAGCGATGAGAAGGAATTGAGATTCTTACCCGGTAAGCGAGGATGATGACTCTTACCCAGGTAAGCGCTTACCCAGTAAATTGTTGCATTCGATATGTTTCGATGTACTAAATTCTTACGCATCAAAATAAATGATAGTGTTGATTCATATCAATAAACGCTTACCGAGTAAGCATTTGGGTAAACGGCCCCTTAGCCTTTGTCATCGTTTTTACCTGGTAAGATTTTCAATCCTTGTCATATTCACCCGATAAGATAAAGTGACCAACAAGAGTAACCACCTTAGTAAACAACCCTTTAGTCATAACGCTTGCCAACAAGAGTAACCCACCTTCATTTACCTGATCGGGTTACACTTTTTGCCATCAAGATGGATTGTCAATAACTGCTAATTAACTAGATAAGTCTTTTCTCTCACTTGAAAGATTCTCGATGTCTTGCTATTCCTCTTACCAGCAAAGACGGAGCCAGAAAATCTTTCTAGGAGATGCTTGGAAACTATGTCAGCAAGCTCATGATTACAATTTTTTTTATCACGTTTAAATGTTGATCGCAAAAAACACCCTATCATTACAAAACACATCAAAATGTAATAAAGTTTGTTTTAGTTCGAATTACCTTTGCAGTAGATAAAAATGAAGACAAAATTCTTATGGAATTTTGACTTATTGTAACAATCCTATCCTACAGAATCATGTTGCTTATCTGACAACTGCTGAGATGGGGCTACACAGACATTGTATGAGGATGTACCAAATAGAGAGAAGATAATATAAACAATGATCATAAACACAAGACAACATATGTCAACAAGGTCACATGGAGGATGCAAGAAATCATTATGGAGCAAAATACTGTACAAATAATGCAATCCTCAGAAATAAAGGAAAAGATCCCTGAATTCTTCAGGGATCCTGTGTACATTCCAAGTCAATTTCAGTTATGCAAACACAACCCTCCCATTTTTACCCCTATCTATCCTCCATATTCATAGACAATGGGGGTAATAAACAAATTGTGATGGGATATACCATTGAGGTGCATTTCGTACTGGACAACACCGATGGGGTTAGAATGACGAAAGTAAGATAGGCAAGTAATTGTGTAAGGTTTTAGTGTTTTTTTTTTCAGAAAAAAGTTTTAGCTTGATATGGGTGGTTTAGTAATTTACCTATCTTGTCCCATCTTCTTTGAACCTATTTTGGTGGGACAAAAAAACTGCATTTTTGTCTCACTCAGTCTTCACCATTTTGCAGTCTAATTGTAAGGGAGATTAGACAAGATAGATAAATTATTAAACTAAAACCTTAAAACCTTCCACAATTCTTTCGTCAATCTAATATTGATTGACCCGTGTACCAAACGCACCTGCATAGAACAATGGTATAAGCCATCACCATTTGTTTATTACCCCCCTTGTTATAAATATGAAGGGTAGATTGGGTAATGGGGCAGGAAGGTGAGTTGGGATTTGGATAAAATTGGAGGCTTGTGTTTGAGAAGTTCAAAAATCTGATGGGTTTGATTTGGAATGTACTTGATGTGGCTCAATTATGTACGCAGGATCCCTGAAGAATGGATCTTTATTTGGCATCTTCCTTATTTTTTAGGATTGTACAGTATTTGCTCCATAATGATTTCTTGCATTCCAAAACACACTCTATACTCCATTGAGTAAATGAGAACCATAATCATATATACAGTACCAGCATTGCTCCAGAAAAGGACTTCCTTAAAATCAACTAGTCAATCAGTTAACTGATTGATTAAGTGTTTAAATAAGCACACAATTGGTAGGATTTCTTCGACGCAAAAGGCTTAATTGAGTTAAATATATTCAAATTAGCATATACAACAACTTAAGTTCAAGTGAACCCGACTGGGAAAACTATGGCACTTGTTAGTTTCATGTACTTGCTAACTTGAGTGAGCAAAGAACATAACTCAATTTAGTCGTTGACCATCCCTTCTACGTTTAAGAGGCTTAATAGCTTTCATTTGCTGGATTAAACAGTCTATAACCTCCTTAAGATTAGCTTTTCTACCTTCCTTGAAGTTCCAAAGCTCTGAGACTACGTATCTCCCACTTGGGTTATACTCGTTCAATTCCAGCAACGCGTTGACTACAGCGTTGCATGCTTCTTCACCCCATTGACTTCTTAACTCTCTCAAATGGCTATCATCTTCATCTACCATTTCCTAAATTTGGAGGAGATATTAGTCCAAGAAGGTAGCTATATGCAAATATTAATTAAGGAAGTTGAACTTGAAGAAGATAAAAGGACTCACTCCTCACAAAGAAAGATGATAAATTTGAAACTTTATCCCTAAGGCTGCGTTTGTTATGCAGACCGGGACTGGACGGGTCTGGACGGACGAGAATGAGGTAGGCAGGTGAAAGAATTCTCAAAGGTTTTAGGGTTTTAATTTGATATTGGCAGTTTAGTAATTTACCAAACTTGTCCCACCTCCTTGATTTTTGTTCAACCTATCTTGGTGGGGCAAATTTAAAATGCAATCTTGTGTCCTGTTCCAGTTTAATGTTGCGTCAAACATGGGTCAACAGTTTTTGTGTTTTCGTGTGCTGCCCGGCATACCAATCGCGCGCTAAATGCACATGATTATAGATGAAACTTTTGCAATGAGATTGACTTGCATGTATGTATGTTAGTTTAATGCAAGTCCTTAGAGAAGCCAACATAATCGATGTTTTGCCATCAAGATTTATGATTTGTCATGCCACTGGACCGTACAGGTCCCGCTTCGTAGCAGGATGCTTCAGTTGTTTTATACTACGAACTAGAAATCATAGTGAGCAAATATGTAATTTTAACCTTAAAACATCCCAAAATAATGCTCCTACTGCCAAAGCTGGTAGATAAAGATATTTCAAAGATAAGCCTTAATGACCAATGACTAACGAAGATCAAAATGTTGCAATTTCCATTCGACATCCCAAAAAGATATATGTTGTGGTCTTTCATAAACAGAGGGAGTATATAACAATGGCATGAAAGGGGGATGAAAGAAAGATACCTTCAATTTCCCATCTTTGATAGCTTGCTTGAAAGGATGCCAATTTGGATTATTAACCCTATCTTGCCACAACGAGCTTAGCTCGACTGATCTCAATTCCCAATCTTGAGCAGAGAATTTCTGCAAGCACACATCTTGAAAAGGTTTCTGAGCAACCTCTCCCATCCGTTTCAGACCAATGATGGTAGTTGCATCCAAAATTTGCGGCAAAACCTTCATGAGAAAAGCTAGGAAATATTTCATCACTTCACATCTACCAAAGGGGTTTGCCAAATTGATTACATATACCCAGGGCATCAAAGATAAAGAAGCCTCACATTTATTAGTTCCTTTCGAGCAGCTTGTAGTTCGTTGTTACTCATGTGCTCTCTAAGTATAAGGGTTTGATTTAAGATGTCCATATCATGCAATTCTTCCTCTTTTTCAGTCAGTCTGTCCCTTAAGTCATTGATATGAACACTCATACTATAGTCACTGTCGAAGGGATTTTGAGCTATCTGCATAATATTGAACACAATCAGGAAACCAACATACACATGTCAGTATATCACATCAACCAATAGGCAGGGTCAAGTAGCAATCTCATCTCTGAAATACCAAAACCTAGTTCATAAATTCATCCGAAACAGAAAGAAAAAGAAAGAGCACACACACAAACACAAGATAAGGAAACAGAATGAACACTTTGAAATTGTTAGTCAACTTTGTTATTAAAATAAAATTTATAGAATGGATTTATTCAGAAGGGAAATAAACTCGGGGGCATTTGGTTTGACACGACGTTTTTGAGGGATCTGCATTTCATGGAAGGATTTAGAATCTTTGGTGTGTTTGGTTTGTAGGACTTGAAATGGAATTAATTCTGTATAGATAATTTATAAAAACAAATTATAAATAATTATAAAAATAATTAAATTTCCTTTTATTAACTGAGTGATACAAAATGAATGTATTTAACATATTTTAAAACACTATTGCAATCTAGTGAAATACCAACTACCCCCGTGAGATTTCCAAATCCAAAGGATTTCAATTCTGGATTTCCTTTTAAAACAACCGCGTGAGTGGAATGGAATCCAATTCCAAATTCCAACAAATCCTGCGAATGAAAACGGATCCTTCATAGAATTTGGAACTCCAACTCATCAATTTAGCTTGAGTAAACTTCCAAGGTAAGAAAGTGTACCTTTTCCTTCTCTATGTAAAAACTTTTGCGCTCAATATCAAGTTGTGACTCTCTTTTCTCCAGTTCGTTAGCTTTTAGCTCAAGTTCTTTTCTTTGATATGCCACTTCCTCCTTTAGCCTTTCACTTTCTTGAGTAAGCAAATGCATCTTATTCAACTGACACTCTAATTCAGTCTTCAATTTGGCATTTTGAAGTCCAATCACCTGCATCTTTCTCATTTCTATAGTATTATGTGAACCATGTTAGAGACAGAAGCAACCACATTTCCTCAAACAGTGTAAACCAGCAGGCTCACATAAGAAAAGCTACTCAACCACATTTCATATAACACACAAGTAATTTAAACTTGATACATGGAGAAAGATATCACAAAAACATGATTTGTTTCTTTTTCTATAGGCAAACTAACTCACACATCAAAGTCGTTGAAGATATTCAAACTCACAACTGAAGGTTGTCGATGAATCCATAGTTTCTTTTTTACCTGCTTAGTTTCATTTTTTTAAATGGATCAAACTAACTGTAAGCACCGCCCAGATCATGCCAGATCGCCGGTTTGGGCTCGGTCTTTACCTTGCCAGATCCGGATCGATCGGGGGGGTCTTGTACAATGCTGACCAGACCTGGATTTTTCGGACCTCTGTGTGTGCAAAAAAATGTATATTTAGACAGCACCAACTCCAACTCTTGAGATATGGGTGGTCATGGATCAGAGAAGTTACAAGCATCATTGGATTGGCACTTGCACATGACATAAAGGAATTGCTCTGAGATATTACCATCGATGTGTCAAAGACTGTGACCACTCATCCTGGGTTTTAATTTGCTGTTAATAAATTGTTTGATACTATGTTGTTAAAATCGCGATATATCGGATATCGGTCTCTGGAAAAATATAGGTGGTGAAATATCTGTTCCGATAATATCGCCGATATTTACCGATATTTCGATGGAAAAATCGGTTCGATATTACCGATTTTCAATATAACAAAAGATTGGAGAGGCACTACAAATCTCTTAAGGATAACAAGTCTTCAAATCCTATTTTCTTGAGAGATGTCGAAGAAAATGATGATTGGGTGGTTCCAACCGACATTGAGCTCAAAAGTTTGTGGATGCAAGAGATGGCCTCCTTTGGTCGGATGTACGAGAAGCAATGGGAGGTAATGAACAAGTTTGGTCAAGTACAAGAAGTAAAAGGGAGCGCTATAGGGATGATAATGATGATCATGTTGGAGATGAAGGGGAAGATTGGGAAGCTAACCTAAACGAAGAAGTGAACGTATTAGATGATGTTGACTCGGATGCTGAACCTATTGTTTGCGATTAGCTAGTTTTTGAACACTTTTCCTATTTTGTTTTGTGAGACTTGTTTATGTGATGTTTTAATTTTGAAACTATATTTCTAAACTCTAATTAATGCATATGATATGTTTATGGATGCATACATATAATATATATATATATAATTCTTTGAAATATTATATTAACCGCTATTTTGGACCGATATATCACCGATATAACAGAAATATCGAATATTGGTCTTTTGTATTTTGACCGCAGTAACAACATAGGTTTGATCAGGACCATCTTGTCACTCTTTAGGACTCAACTTTTGTGAAACACTTTTGTTCATTAATAGGAGACCATATCTATGGTTTTTCTTTTTGGGCTCCCCAGATCAGACAATTTTGATACTATTTTGGTCATCATGGATAGATTGAGCAAATATAGCCACCTGCTACAGCTGTCCTTTTCTATAAGCAGATTGTTTGCTTACATGGTATGCCTCGTTCCATCCTTTTGATAGAGATGTCGTCTTCAAAATCATCCCCAACATTTGTGCAAGTGGCCCAGCTTTCTTTCACGAGTTTCAAAGTGGACTTCTTTGGTGGTGCCCTTCTTGGACCTGTTGCGGATATTTTCTGTCGAATGTGCACCGCTGACTTGAGCTTCGAGGTCTTCAGGCCAGGAATAACATATACACTTATCACCATCCCTTCTCAAGTTGTGACACTTGGAAAAGATGATCATATATCTTGACTAGAATTCCTCAATATGATATGGAATGATCGTTTATGTACGACTAACGCATGAAATAGCCATGATCTCATATTCTTTACCAACAAAATGATAACAACTAAAGTCATCCACTTCAACAATTGTCTAAATTCTTAAGCTCTGGGTATTCAAAAATTGTCACATTGCTAGATTCAGCAGGTTTAAATCATTGAAACCTTCTCCGAATTCACCTCACGCTCATTGGATGCATAGCATGATATTGCAAAATTTGAACCCTTTACTCAAAACACAGAAGAGTCCCCTAAATATGGTTCCCTATTAAATTTTGCAAATACAGGTAAACTGTATCATCTGAACTAAAAACTAGAATTGGGGCAAATTTTGCATCTTTTCACTGTAAAACTGATAAAGTGAATTGCCAAACCAATGAAGTAAGGGGATAGGAATATGCCCTAAACTCATGAAGCAAATTGCAAAACTAATGAAGTAAGGGGATACGGATATGCCCTAAACTAATGAAGCAAATTGCAAATTTTGCATCTAATATATGGGTCATGCAGTCTCTCATAAAAAACGATCAAGTAAATTGCAAAGAGAAGAGCTTATTGTCATTTTTGAGGGTTTTAGGTAAACTTAGTTCAATGTATCATGGGTAGCTAAATTCGAAATCAATTCGTATTGGTAATTCACTTGCTTGAAGGTAATTTTCCGACTTTAAATTAATTTTCCCCTGATTATGGTGCCAATCAATGGAATTGAAGTAACGGATCCCTGTTGCAAAATTCAATTTGGAGAACCGTAAACTTCAAATCCATAGATTGGAACCATAATTGGGGCAAAATGACCTTCAAGTAATGAATGTTACCCGCATGCATTGATGATTTCAAATTTAGCTACCCATAATATACATTCAATTTTAAGTTTACCTAAAAAACCGTCTGTCAAAAATTACAATAAGCTCTTCCCTTCGCAATTTACTTCATCAGTTTCGCATAGAGATTTCTTATAAAAACAGTTCGAAAATGTAAATGATTAGAAGACAAAATAAGTAGTAAATACCTTCAGAAAACGTATGATTCATGCGATCTTTCTCAGCGATCATGGAATTAAGGCGGGAAGAAATCTCTTCGGTATGGCGCTCCATTTCCCATAGCCTTTGATTCTTCATGTCCACTTCTCTCGCCAGACTCACCGCCAAACTACGCGCCTTTCGGAGCTCACACACCATTTTACTGTCCTCCATTTTTTTCCCGATGAATGTTGTCAACTACTGTATCGCTGAAAGAGAAAGGATCCTTTCTCTTCACATGATGCGTAAACGGCTATTTGGGCCCTCTGGTTTTCAGTCTTCTCATTTTGGACACTTTTATTATCATCAAGTTTCAATTACACCCATCTTGTGATTGGGTTTTTTATAAAGCATCATTCTTTTCTATATTTTGAAATAAAAATAAAATAAAAATCACAAAAAATATTATTGTAACACCTTCATTTTTGTTATTTTCCAATCCTCTGCCGAAAGCATATATCACATACTGATGCTAGAGGTGCTTAAAAACCCGACCAATCCAACCCAACCCAATACGAAATAACTCAATCTGAAGCAACCCAATGTCTAATCGAGTTGTAAAATTGTCAAACTGTAGGTATTGAGTTGATATTGGGTTACTATTATTTGAACTCTATCCAACTCGATGAATCTGATATCCTTTTATTTCTTGGATTTAATATGATTGTTGAATTTCTATTAATATGTACATTAGATAATTACACTATCGTGTATGCTCTTCATATACACATATTTTTAATCTATTCACATCTTTATATAACTAATTCGTATATATGTTCAGTAATTGTGAACATATAGATGTAAATTGAGAAAATTAATTGAATGTGGTATACGTAAGAAATATGGATAAGTTGTATCAAATGATTGATGATAAAAAAGAATTTATGAGTAGAGAAATAACATATTCTAGGTTAGAAGAATAATCAATGTATCAAAGTATCAACCTGAACAACCCGACCAACCCGTACGGGTTGGGTTGGTTGCACTTTGGTTCGAGTTGGGTTGAGTTAAGATTTTTCAAACCGCAAACATTGGGTTGAGTTATTCAAATGTTTTCAATCCGATCAACCCAACCCATGGGCACCCCTAACCAATACATGTTGAAAACGTTATTTCATTTTTCCATACATAGATGTACATCTCATTTTCAATCACGTGAGACTCATGTGATCCGCTAAGTCTGATACCAACTCCTAATTAACACTTACACAGTCATAATATGCCCACTACATGTCTACACATCATATAATGCACTATCGTCACCTTAACTCACAATAATGAATTAACCATTTACTAATACAATTTTTTACGGAATCGATCCCCTTTTGACTGTACAAGAATATGTGGAGCTCAGCATGTCTGGAAACGTTCTTTTGCCGATATTATTACCAGTATTCGTTAATTCAAAATTCTCTCGATTCATCCCCTCATGAGGAATTGCCAAATTGGACCATATTGTCCCTCTCTAGAGGTCAACGCGACCTTGAGGTTGCTTCCAAGCTCGCCTTACTGAATGCAGGGGTTAGGGAGCTTGCCTACCTCACTGGACGTAACTAGCATACATCTAGTTCAACCCAGATGCAAGCTTCAAACCTTGCTCGTTTCCTTCGTCTTAACGTGGTCCTAAACTCGCCTTTCAAGCACACAGATGATGTTCTTCAAACATAGCCTCCGTTAAACTCACAAAATCCCAATTCTACCGTGTTTTTGCACAAGATTGTTCATAACACTCGAATCTATCTATACCTAATCCTATGCATCAGTTTAACACCATTATTATGTATAAAATAGATCCTCTAACCATTGAACATGCAAATATGCATCTTTTAGTAAATTTTTAACAATTAAACATTTAACATAAAATCCGCGTTGGAACATGATCCAAAGTTTTTCAATGCAATCTAAGCCGATCCAAAACCAGCAAACATTCATAGAGACATAGTGCTAACTAAACTTAAGGGCCGCTTACCGGCAAGAATCACTATCCTTACTTATCTTATTAGGTAACATTCTCGGTCATCAAAATCAAAATGGATTAATAGTAACATTTTCGGTCATCAAAATGAATTGATAGTAACATTTTCGGATTGATTTTAAGTGTTTATCACCAGTAAGCACTTAGCGGGTAAGACTCTCAATCCTTGTCTTCTCTCTTACTGTGTAAAATTTTCGGTTCTTCCTATACTCATCCAGTAAGGTAATAGACCCGGTAAGTGTTTGGTAAACGGCACCTAAAACAAAGTTTGTAGCCAAAAGCAAACACCATTTACATAAAGTTTGTAGCCAAAAGCAAACACCATATGTTTCAAAATATCACATAGTTCTCCTGCGTTTATGGGCATCCCACATTTTGAGAAGATAAGAAACTCCTTCCTGTAGACTAGCTTTTCTGGCTTCACTGAAGTTCCACAGCTCTGTTATCACATATCTTCCACTAGGATTGTAGTTGTTAATCTCGGTCAACGCGGTCGTTACAGCTTTGTACACTTGGTCGCCGAGCTCTCTCTTTAGCCCCTTCAGTTTTTCATCATTTTCATCTATCACTTCCTGCACCAATAATATCAAAACTTCACCAGACATACCCGGTAAATCCCATTAAAATTCATCCAAAAATGCTGTTTGTTTTTCTATAGTCGGTAGGTCTTGTACTTTTTTACCACTGTACCAACTATCAAGTAAAATAAGTAATGTTCATTGTACGATTAGAGTGTGTTCGGTATGCGGGACATGACAATACAAAAACTTGTTGTTCCACATGTTTTGCACGACATTAGACCGGACAGGATGAGTGGGGAAAATGCATTTTTTCCTGTCCCACCAAAAAGGTGGAACTATTTATCTAGGAGATGGGAACAAAGATTGATAGATTACTAAAGGATCAATGTCAATTTTAAAACCCTAAAACTTTTAAAGAATTTTATCACCTGCCTACGTCACTATCGCTGGTCCAATTATGTTTGATCTTGTCTGCGTACCAAAAGCAACCTTATAATATTTATCTGACGACATACGTTGCGTTCAAATCAGCTTTTGTCCACTAGTGACTCTTGTCTTGCCAAAAAAAAAAGTGATCTGACTAGTTTGCCCTCGTTAAGATGATGTTACTATTATGGCTTACGAAGGGTAAAGGCTAGGTTTTTTGGTTGGTAAGGAAGGTGAGCCAAAAGCAATTGGGACATGAAGTATAATGGCAATTAATATTTTATTTTGTGCCAAACGCAGCAATTCACACACCCTCCTCACCTTTTGGTAAGGTTTGAGCTCCTGACATTCTGGGAGGCCAAAGGTCCCAGATACCACTAGGCCGAAGACCCTTTTTTAAGGTGTAGCAAATCGAGGTTGGACATAAAAACAGATTTAATTTACTAAATATGCACCTGTGGTTTTCCATTGATGGTGATTACTCTGAAAGGATGCCAAGTGGGATCCCGAAGGTACTCTTCCCACAACGAACATACTTCTGATGCTCGATCTTCTGCTTCTAACTCATTGTACTTGTGCTTCATAGCATCGTAAAAGGGTTTATTCTCCAGCTCTCCCATCCTCTTGACACCAATATGTGAAGCTTTTGATAAATTCTTCAAGCCCTTTATAGAAAATATAATAAAGTCATCATTGAACCATATAAAATCTCGGATAAGCGTGACAAATGCAGAGCAAGCAATATCATTACAAAAAGATTCTTGAAATCGTGGTTGTGCTCCATAAGACTAGCCAAACCTTATAGATATTGAAAATGGCTTTTTGGATAAAGTTGATTATGAAGAACTGATTGAAAATTTCGTTTCGAAGAATGTTAAAAGAATGATTACCTTTTAGTAAATTTGACATGTTACTTTGTCATTTTAAGATATGTTACTCGAGTTGATCTATAGTCTTGGTAGAGGTGTGATTGGGCCTCCAAAAAGAGTGAAACGACCCTGAAAAAGAAGATAACTAGAATCCAAAAGCATACCTCGATTAATTCTTTACGAGCTTCCTGCAGTTCGTCATTGCTTTTTCGTTCCTGAACAACCAGAGTTTGATTTAAGCTTTCCAAATCCTCGAGCTCTTCTTCCTTTTCCTTTAAGTTTTTGTGCATGTCTTCTATCTTCTTGAGAACCTCCAAATCATCATCTCCCATGTGCTTCATAACATTTAGTTGCCCCTTCAGACGTTCTATTTCTAGCTCCACAGCTTGCTTTGCATCCAATTGTTTCTCAAGAAATATTATTTTCTCATGGAGTTTCTCCTTTTCCCTCTGAATGTGATAACATGATATGAAAAACAATATATGGCATTCGATGTTCAACATTATATATATATATATATATATATATATATATTTATATCATAGAAGTCAAAAATTACCTTATGATCATCTGCAAGTTTCATCACACTTTCATCAGCTTTCCTTTGCTCATCAGACGCTGTCCTGAGCGAACTATTTTTCACAGCATTCTGGCAAAAGACATTTATTTGAGCATTTAAAAGATTTAATCAAAAAAATCCAGAAATAAATGATTGATGCAAAATAAGTGGTCTCACAATCACCTATATTATAAGGACAAAAAAACCAGTATTAGAGGTTGTTGTCGGCTAGATGGTGATCATGTCTCAATAAATGTTGAAACCATAACATAACGCATATTCTCATGTGGTATCAAATCAGAGCCAAGGTCTACCAGGCGGACCTTGGAATTTCTTTGAGCGGTGGTGCACCTTTAAGATAGATCAAAAGTCCGTAAAATCGCAATTTGACCTAGGGAAAGTCAACTGTATTGAATTGGAGATGAAAATACAATTTTTCAAAATGGAATCAACCTTGATCTTTAAATTAAACATATGTTTCCTTGAAATTGAGTTAAAAAGCGACAACAGTGATAATAATGCCTATAATTCAAGTTTGACTAGAAATAGAATTGTAGGGCCTGAGTTAATGCCCTGGGCTGGGCCTAGAGCTTAAACTTAAAAGATAAAAAGTAAACTTGACTTAAAATAAGATTCAAACCCGTGACCTCTTGCATGTGGAGTGGTAATCCAACCATTCCACCCATGCTTAACTTCTAACATAGATTTGGTTTCAAAATATTTAAGGGAACCCTTCAAAATCAAGCAGGTGTACCTTTCAAACGCCTAATTTTTTTCTCTTGCAATTATCAAGCGAGTGGGTGCACGACTCAGCTCCTAATAGGTCCGCCCACTCTAGGGACTTAACACCGGCAATCTTTACTCGTTTAGCCCCCTCATCCGTCTAGCACCTCTCGACACTAGGACAATTTATGCCAGTCTTGCCCCCGTTGAAGGGCCATGTTAGAGTCCCACATCAGCTAGACTTGGATCACATATTCTCACAGAGGTTTCTCACAAAGATGATGCAGGCTATGCATGAGAATCATATATAGCAAGTGTTAAATGATTAGCACTAAGAAGCATGAAATTACCTGATTATGGAGGACAAGAATTTTATGATTCATCATAGATGTGTAAGGAAAAAAAGAAGGCAACGACAATATAAACCGCGCAATTACCCAGGCATGAATCTCACACCTCTTCTATCTCTTCTGCGACCTTTTTCCTTTCGTTTTCATTTATAACCTCACGCTTCTGCAGTTCAACAACCCGAAGTTCAAGTTCTCTCTTTTGGCTTTCTAGTTGCAATTTGATTTTTTCATGGTCATTGAAGATCCTCTGGAGATGTTCTCGCGCGCTCAACTGGATTTTCTTTACCTCTGATCAATACAAATACCACATAATAACATCATATCAAAATAGTTGAGAGTGTGTGTGTGTGTATCACAGGGGTTATTTAGCTAAATGACCTCACAAATCATTTTTAAACACTATATCTTATCTATCCCAACTTTATATGAATGAAAACCAAAGAGGTTACAGTAGCTTTCAGGTAGACCAAACAAGATACGGGAATTCTTATTATTATGAGTATGAGTACACAATAGTATAACTTGGGAAGCAGCACAAACCTTCGTTATAAGATTGATGAACCTTATCTTTTTCAGCAATTAATTTGCTGAGGGTATTTTCTGTTTCCATGTATTTGGTCTCCATCTCTTCAAAATGCCTCTTCTTGACTTCAATTACATTTGTCAAATTTGACATGAGTTTAACTGCTCTATAATCTTCTTCTGCCATGATATCAGAAACAGTCCTAAGATCAGCAATCTTGCGGAGATGCTCCCCAACTATGTTGTCAGATCTGTAATCGTCAGCACGAGCAACCCAACCATATATACCGGATTTTGGATCGTTATTTTCCTTCCAGTCCTTTTTACCATGATGCTCAGCCTCATAAGCCTTCTCGAATGACACGGCATTATTGAACCCTGTCCAATCTTTTCTAAATTCAACCACAGCAGATCCTGAATGACCGCGGAAATTCCACAAAGGATGCACCCTCATAGGATTAAAACGTCTCATGGTTAAATCATCTCTCATATTTGAACCACTTCTTCCGATATAGCGCCCATCTATCAATTCAATTGGTAGGTTAACAACAATGCCCTTCCATGGCCATACAAACATCTCATCACCATCATGGTCTGCAAGGTGATCAACCTCATTTTTAGGTTGTGATAGATCAGAGGCTTCAGCTATATCTTTTTCGAGATATTTAGCTAGTGCTAGATGATTAGCCTTGTCTGTCTTACTTCGCTTTTGTGAATCACTTTTCCCCACCATAGTAGCATGCTGCAATAACTCTTTATATTGATAATCATGTTTTTTCTTATTAGGACAGTATGGGCAGGTGAGAGCTTCATTTGGTAACTTGATGTGGTGTTTTCCATTCTTGAGCTCTTCATAAGATTTATCTTTATATTCCTCTATTTCAGATTCACTTGCATCACCATCTTCTCCAGAAACATAATCCTTTGTCATTTTTGTTCAACAAAGAAGCCTGTTAACCATAGAAAAGGTCAATCTTGTTATACATACTAGCAAACGGTATCTGTAGAAGATGATACAAATGGTAAAAGGTCTACAGTTTCTTGTCAATAAAGAAATGGTAAAATGTCTCCCGTCAGTTCAAGAATTGGAGCATGTCAGCCAAGGATGTGCATTGAGTAAATAGACAAGAATATATATATATATATATATATATATATCTGTCCAGCGAAGATATATTTCTAACCCCTCAGTAACTAATAATCAATATATTTCCCAAAGGTCAATCTAGAAGAGCTTCGAAGAAATTGGAGTTGATACATACGCAGTCTATGAGCACTGAGTCACATGCAAGAAGGTGAGAATTTCCAATTGTTCAGTTCATTGATGGTCTTACATGGATATGCTGGGTTTACTTCCTAAGATGACTTCAGAAGCATTTTGATTGTTCCAGAAAATTTAAAGCTCTGACAGAAAATAATATAGAGAATCGAGAAATCAGTTTTATTCTCATTAATCATAATCCCTTTAAATAGGGATGAGTTATAAAGATATAACCATAAGATATATAATAGTAATCTAACTCTAATATGCTTATCACTATCTCTATATATCTCTATCTCTAAGTTTTATCTTTATTTTTATCATTATCGTCATATACTTTAGACGATGACACACTTATCCTTCAACAGAAGTCAAGAAAGATCTAACAGACAATCATCGTTAATAATCATTTTTATTTACAAGTAAATCAAATACCCTTATATCCAAGGAATGTAATTTCTTCCGACCATTTTTTCCCATCGCCATTAAAATTCAAATAGCTTTTTGGTTTATTATTTGTTCGTTTTTTCTTTTTCTTTATTTTTTAAAATGCTATTTTTTATAAAATAATGATTGTTTGACTAAGAATTACAACACTATATCTATGTGTTGTTATACCAAAGATGAAATGTTTACTTTTATAATGTTTCAATCATATTTTATTTAGTTATAGTTGATTTGAATTTCCAACTTTGACTTTGATTGTTCTTTTTTTCTTGAAAAGCAGCAAAATATATTAAAAGAGAGCAATAAGAATTAGAAAGCTGGGAAGGTTAGAAGGAGCGAGATGCAACAATCAAAAGCAGATCCAACCAATGGCCGATGGAAAGTAAGAGAGGAAAAAATACACGAAAAAACATACAAACAACAACGACCGAACAAACGAACCAATAAGCAACAGAGTAACGAGAGGCTCAGCTAGGATTTATAATGCAGCTTAAATTTTTGATCAACCATTGGATTGTTTTGTTGAACTATGTAGTATATGATACGTCGTGTTTTTGAGGAAAAGAAGCAATATATATGTGTATATATAAAGGTGTAACGTTTTTCTTAAGACAAATAATGATTGTAACGTTATATTTTTTATTTATGAATTTATTATTTAGATTTAATGAAATTTAATATAACAAAGTCAAAGAAATTCTCTATAAATCTTCAAAATGGAAGAACAAAAGTTAAAATCTTCAAAAAAAAATTACATCCAACTCCAATAGTTGAAATTCTTAAAATATTTAATACATTTAATACTCCAACAAACTTTCAAACAAATATCTTTATAACATAGTGACGTGAGATATGCTTTTAATTGTTTTTTTTATAGAGAGAGGGGAGGCCCCTCTTATCAAGAGAAAAACGCTAAAAGCAAACAGATTACGCGCTCAGGTGGGGGCGAACCACATCCACCCGATAGAGAGGGGGCTTTTAACTGTTTTAAGTTATAGTATATCCCAACTTGTGTCAAATATTGAAAAAATATGCCTCAATAATATCTTCAAGTGTCAAATATTTTGCTAAAGTACCACTTTTGGTATTATATAGCCAATGCTGCCTTTGGGAAAAAACATGAAAATAAAAATCATCTAAAAAAATGTTTTTTAAACAATGTGCTTGATTGTTAAAAAGATGCTTAGTCAAAACCCTATTACATTAGAGTAATTTTACTCACTCGAGGGTCGTTTACCCAAACCTTTATCCTGTAAGCATTTATTGGTAAAAGTTAACATTCTAACTTACTTTACCAGGTAAGATTGCACGTGACATTTTACATGGTAAGTACTTACTAGGGAAGAGTCGCCACCCTCACTTTATTGGGTAAGACTCTTCATCCTTTTCATCAATCTTACCGGGTAAGATTATCGTATTCACCCAGTAAGGTAAATGAACTGGTAAGGGGTTTAGTAAACGCCCGGAGGGTTTTTTTTTCAGAATTTTGCAAATAAATTTACTCAAAAGGAAAGAAGTCACCGTACTGGTATTTAAATTTCTTTAGGTTAATGCTTCCTCCTTTCAGAATCCCTGATAGTCTGTGTTCAAATTGCATTCATTTCATTACATTTCAAAAAACACTAGCATTCCGGCAAATTATGCTAAATTTTACAGCTAACCGCAGTCATGCATAGCTCCCCCAAATCAAAATAAATTCATTCCATCAAAAGTAGCACAAAATCGTCACTATTTATAATCTATCACTCCATTTTGCACCAGACATTCAATTCAAAGCATGATTGAGTGATTCAATTTGAAGCATCACGAAATATTAACATGCATTACTCAAGTTGAGCACAATGCAGACCACAAACTCAAGTAAGCTCTAAATTACTTTAACAGTTATGATTACGAGTACGTATACACACAAAAATGTGAATGCGCAACAATAGCTGAAGAAGAGATGATACTTACTTCGAATTGATTGATCTGTTAGGCTAATTGTGCAATGTTGAATAGATGAAGATCATTTACGGCAAAAAATGGAAGTAAGAACAGTGGATTTTGGGGGTCTGAGTGTGATCAAGCAGAAGAAGACGATGACTGAAAGAGGGATGCAAAAAAGATGAAAAATATAGAGAAAAACGTGAAGGCGCGTTTTGTTTAGCATTATTTATACATTAAAAATAAGAGTGTATTACACTTGTAGTCTATATATTTTGATTATTATAACAATTTAATTATTTTAGTTTATTTATATTTGATAATTTAATTTAATAATGTCTCATAGCATTTTAACTTTTAAAACAATATTATCTTTGAGAAATTAACTCAAATGACTATCTCACTTATTTAAATTGGTTTCTTGACTATTTCTTTCTTTGATTGACCCAAATAGATTACATTCGCAATACTCAAGTCCCTCAATAGCTAAAAGACAAAAAAAATGTCAAATTCAACCAATTTACCGTCATAATTGCGGACCTGACCTGGTGCATCTTGGTGCATATTATCCTAATGTGCATCCAAGGGTGTAGATCAATTCTTACGTTTTTCGGCTTAACTCTCCTCTTCGAAAGTCAATCCTCCCTGTATATGTATGTATATACATATATTAGTTTACCTTTTAAATAATCTCAATGGTTAGGTATTCATACTTCATACAACCTTTAAACATTTAAATTTCAATCTTTGAACACTTACAAAAATAAATAGTCTATGTAACTCAAGGGAGTTCTCATGAAAAAGAAAATGGTCATCATTGCTTAACTTAAGGGGTGTTTGGGATTGTTTATTTAAAACAATTTATGTTTTTTTTTATAATCCTTATCAACATATTATAAGTTATAATGGTTTAACTTCTTTAAAAAAACTCCTCTTTACCGGTTTGACACCGATATAAGCTTTTTATCCAAACACTCAAAAGTACTTATTATCGGTGTCACACCGAAATAAGTCAATAAGTTGTTTTTATAAGTAATCTCAACATCCCCTTAAATGTCCTATACCATATAGTGCTAAGCCTCGTCACTTGCATAACAAATTTTTTAGGTGATTGCTTTGGGTCATCATTGTTTTATTTGTATCAACAAGAACTAATGGTGCACATATTTTTTTATAAAGAGATCCAATGACATGTTGACATCCATAACTCATCATTTTCTTTTCAGATAACAGACATCTAAAATTTTCGACCTTAGTTTATCAATTATGAACCTCAAGTCATCATTATTAATAAATAGAGGTTGAAGGATTTTGATTAAGATATAGACTAGGGCTTTAGGAAACCAATTTCCGTTTTAATTTTAGGGTTTAAAAACAAATATACCCTTGATTTAAACCCATGGATTGTGTTTCAACGAAAAAAGAAGTTATGGTGAGAAGCGTAAGAAGTGATATCCACCATTGGATCAATCCTAATTGAATGTCAATACTAATGAGGTGTATGAAGATATATTAATCAATTCTTTTTTAAAGCACAATCTATGTGTGTACATGATATTAAAAGTGTTAAAGAGTTCAGATCTCTTATTACGCTTTTCACCGTAACTTTTTTTCTTATGCGATACTTCATCTTGAACCCATTACCAGTACATGTAACAACTTTTAATAAATTTCGTTGATGTTAATGACCCACGAACTTGAACATAAAAAAATGATTATTAGAACTAACAATATAATCATAATAATATTATTTTAGATTATTGAATCATTTATTTCTATTGTTTTTCTTGCTATTGAAATAAATTAAGGGACAAATTTTAAAATTATGTAAAGTGCAGGGACCATTTATATAACTCTAATTATCTTTGCCCCTTTTGTTGTTCGCAAACAAGAACCGTGGTTATCCGCCGGCCTTGATAATTCAAGCACACGACGACTCCGATTCCGGCGAGGCTTCTACTTTGTAATCGCCATCTTCGATCTGTATTCACCCTCCCTTCCCACCTATCTCTCGCTCTCCCTCATACACACACTCACATCACATAAGATGTTCACACAGTTCGGCTCTACCGCTGAGAACTTTAGCAAGGCGTCAACAATGGTGTTTCGGATCGGCACAGACGCTCACCTCTACGACGATCCCGACGATGTCAGTATTTCACCTCTTCTCGACAGCAAATTCGACTCTGAGAAATGCGAAGCTCTCAAACGATTGCTCGCTCTCATTGCCCAAGGCTTAGATGTATCGAATTATTTTCCTCAGGTAACTCAATCATGACATTATTTTTTTGTCGATTCACTAACTGTTTCTCGCTGAAGATTGAGTAATTGATTTTAATTAATAAGAAGCGTCGAACTATTCTTTTTTTCTTCTAAATGTTAACTGCCATAAGAGTGAATGATATCTAGGACTTAGAAATTTGTAGTCTTACCGAAGCAATTACGTTTTGAACTCAGAAGTTGTTATAAATTCGTTTAAACCAATGAACCCGAAGCAGGACAATGATATAATTTCGTGATAATACTTTCACCAAACAGCTAATGCTCATATGTTAACTGCAATGAAAGTGATTCATAGATAGGATTGTGCAAACTCTGCAGGTTTCCTTATTAAAATCAGATAGCTTCTAAACTAAGGAACTGATATGAGTTTGTTATAACTAGTAGAATAAAATGCATAGCAATGTTAAATCACAAGTCAATGGATTTATTTATCATGCACTCAGAGCGTATGGATTTCATACAGAAGGTTTATATGATCATAACACCTCAACACCTCGGCAAAATAAAGGGTATTTACGTAAAAGATACTTAAGTACTACCATGCTTTGATCTTGGTAAAAAATCTATACATGGTCACTAATCATGCAAATCCAATCTCTGTACTTACAATGATAAAGTTTTTGCTCTTGAAATACGATAAATGTATCTGCATTTTTATCCAGAAAAGGTCACTTTTGATGCCATTGTGTTATTTGATTGATGTACAGGTTGTTAAGAATGTTGCATCTCAGTCATTGGAGGTCAAGAAGCTTGTTTACTTATATTTGCTGCATTATGCTGAAAGGCAAGTCAATTATATTCTCTATGAATCAGACCTTTTATTCAGTTCAATTTAAGATGCATGAACTTACATAAGCCCTCCAATATTTGATAGTTGATACACGATCAGTTTTTTTCTTCATAATGCAAAACATGATTAATGAAGATTAAAGAGTTTCTTATATAGGCTTTAGTTGTTTACCATGATGAAGTTTTAAAGCATGGCCTGCAATGCAGTCTTGTTCTTTAGTTTGACCTGTACAACATTGGATAGGAGGAAGTTGAACATAATTTCTTATCCTTTCAACTATATATGAATATATCCAACTAAATATGAATATATTGTTTATTGTGCTAGGCATACTGTTATGCACATTTGATCATATCTGCATACACGATTGATGCATTAACAATTTGGTGTGCAAGGATTCTGATATGCCTCATGTCTGCCTTCTTTCTTCTGTATTAGGCGTCCGAATGAAGCATTGTTGTCAATTAATATTTTCCAGAGAGACCTGGGGGATCCAAACCCATTGGTGAGGGCCTGGGCACTCCGTACTATGGCGGGAATTCGCCTGCATGTTATATCGCCTCTTGTTTTGGTGGCAGTGAGAAAATGTGCTAGAGATCCCTCCGTATATGTGAGAAAATGTGCTGCCAATGCTCTCCCAAAGGTTCATGATTTGCGTCTTGAGGAAAATGCCACGGCAATTATAGAGGTTAGTGTTACGTAGATTGCTATTGTTCATCTAATCTGCTACAACTACCATTATCTGCAACATGCTAAATTATTTTATAATCAGAGACCATTGTTTCTTTTTTATTGTGAACATGAACTGGGTTTCAGTTCTTAGTAAAAGATAGAACTTTAGAGAGGGAAAATACTTCCATCAACATAACTTATAAGTTTCTTTGCTTTTTGTTCATGGGAAAGGGGGGGGGGGGTTGCGCTCATTGTCTTGATAGAATATTAGAAATTTTGATTACCTAGCATATGGATAGGCTTCTATGCAAGTTATATGGAATGTCTGTTAGGCCATGGAAAATCATGGTGCTCTGGTTAAGCCTGTTTTCCTAGAAGAAACTTCACTGAAAAGTATATTGGATCTGGTGCAGTGTTCTATACAGCCAGTAAGTTACCTTGTACTTTCTGCTGTGACATTTCTAGTAGAAGTGAAGCTACTTATCATGCAAGTAAAGACTATTTAAACATGCATCAGCACTAACAGTTTGTCCAGCCCTCGCATGTAGGTGACTTTCTGCTGATTAGGTGTTCACTTACTGCAAGGATAGAGTATTTATATACTAATTAGTTTATTACATTTAACCATATTGGTTATGGAAGTAGCACTTTTCAAACTGTAACTTTCAAGTCCCCACTGTTTGATATTGGGGTTAAAAGGCATGTCTGACGGAATAAATGCAATCTGCATTTATACCTGGATGCATTGAGTGCAAATTAACTGATTTATGATACTAAAAATTTTAGTTTATTGTTTTCAACCAGACCTTGATGTGTTGTATCTGTTCTCTTAATAAGTTTTATATTGTCTGAATAATGCAGATTATTGGAATACTGCTATATGACAATTCCCCTGGAGTGGTTGGAGCTGCTGCTGCAGCATTTGCTTCTGTTTGTCCAAATAATTTGCCTCTAATTGGTAGAAACTATACAAGGCTATGTGAGATTCTTCCTGATGTTGAGGAGTGGGGTCAGATCATTTTGATAGGGATCCTTCTCCGTTATGTCATTGCAAGGCAGGGGCTTGCAAAAGAATCTATTATGTTATCCTTATGTCCTGAGGATGTCAGTCATGATAAAAGTGGTTCAGACTTTGATACCAACTCCTTAGAAATGAACAAAACATACGAAATGAGTAGCGGGATTCAGGAGCATGAGTTGGCAGCTATGGTGTCCAGGAGTTACCTTGAAGGACCAGATAAGTACTTGTCACATTCTACTAATGCAGATGTGATGTCGTCAGAATTGGATTCGTCACGATTTACATCATCAAAAAGTGACGATGACATGAAGATCCTGCTGCAGTGTACTTCACCTTTATTATGGAGTCGGAACAGTGCTGTGGTGCTTGCTGCTGCTGGAGTACACTGGATTATGGCACCAAGGAAGGACATTGCAAAAATTGTCAAGCCTCTATTGTTTCTCCTGAGATCATCTGATGCCTCAAAATATGTGGTACCGCTCTTGCATTTCAACACATGTCTCTAGTGGTACCGCAAATTTCTCTCGTTTACATTCCTTGGGCAGAGACCTATATCCCGTGACATCCATGACATATAACTTTTGCTAGATAGCGATGTAAGCATAATCACTCATCTGTATCTTCAACTGTATATGTATGGCCAAGAAATCTAGAATCTTTTTAACTGCATACTTAGTCCATGGTAAAGTATGCTAGCTTTGGGAAACCTTGTAGTATGAATATCAATATTTAGTAGGAAACCACTTCTGTTAAGAATAAAATGAAGTTGAATTCACATAAAATCCATGCTTAGGGGAGTTTTTTCTTTTGCCTTCAACTAATTAAGTAGGAATTTAGATCACGTTTATGGGAAAGTTTGGCACCTCGATGTCAGATTTTACTGTTAATTTTTTTGTCAGGGCGTAATGTGAACAGGCTGTATTGAATTGATATAGGGTGGGTTTTATGGAAATGCTACTTGTATACTTTGTCCTACATATGTATTTACTACGTTGTGTTGCAAAATAGTTACAAGGCCAATTACACGCTCTAAATAAACTTGTTTAAGATCATGTTAATGGAATTACTATAGGTAAAATAATTTAACTAAGCTGGATCTGGTAGAACGTTGGCTGCTAGAATTAGAATGCTTAAACTAAGCTGGATCTGGTAGAACGTTGGCTGCTAGAATTAGAAGGCAACAAAATTGGAATTGTTAGAAATAGCAGTAATTAGCAAGTGGCGAATTTGAACGTACTATTTCTTATGTTGCCTTAGATAGTTAGACATGTGTGAGGTGAATAGGAGATCAACTAACAGAAATCAATATGGTGTTTAATGTGTTTTACCTTTCTAATCAAATTGTGAGCAGCTGTTTTTGTTGAAATCTGATTGTTGAGGGTGGGGTTTGTGGTTGTGGGGGGGAGGGGGGTTGTCCAAACACACCATTTATATAGATATCAGGAAAATACTGAGATTGTTCACAGCCTAAGATATTTGTATCATATATATATATATACTGGGATCAACGTTTGGTTGCTCAACTATTTTAAGTAGGTTTTAACCACTGATGCAGGTCCTCTGCAACATTCAAGTCTTTGCTAAAGTGATGCCCTCTCTTTTCACCCCACACTATGAAGATTTCTTTATCAACTCTTCAGATGCATATCAAGTTAAAGCTCTGAAACTTGAGATTCTTTCTTCCATTGCTACAGATGCATCAATCTCGGTTATTTTTCAAGAGTTCCAGGTACTTTTCCCTGTTGTATCTATGCTGATTTTCCATCTGCTTTAATAATATCACTTACATTGGAAGTTGTAGATAATTGTAATTAATTCCTAACACATGGCAATTATTGTTAAAACTTTTTACTTCTTTTACCGTTTTTTGTTATTCATATACCCTTTGTTGCTGTATTCCAAAAAGAGATGTTTCCAGCTCATTGTGATCCTGCAGTTTACTTTAATTAACCGAGACCTGCGGGATATAGTAAAATCTCTCTCTTTTCTCTGTAGGCGTAAAAATATGATCAATATCTTTTAGCATACTTCTAATGCCTGAGGGCGAAGCATATTTATGGATTTTTAAGTTGCTATGATTTGAAAATTTTGAATGTGATGAACAGGCATTGCTGATGCTTAGAACGAGAAGTAAAAGGGGCAATTTTAACCCATTCGGTGAAAATGGGTCAATTTGGGTTATATTTTATTGCTAATGGGTTCAATGGGTAAAATTAAAAGATTTGACTGAAAAGGAAACGGGTCAAACGGGTGCAATGGTATAAAGGCTGCCTAAAGTATATTTTAAGTGTCTACAACCTCCTAAATTGATCTATTCAAAACAAAGCTGGATCTTTATTTAGTAATAGTTTTATAACTCTATTTAACATTTAGTTATTTATGAAATTAAAAATGGATAAAAAGGTGTTGGCAGGTCAATACTCAACCCAACCCGTTTTGATTCATTCTAAAATTTACTTGTAATGACCACCATTTCCCGACCCAACCATTTTCCACCTAAAACAAGAAGTTTGAGATTTTGACGAGGGTCACAAGACCAAGTTCAAAAGAGTTATCGCATCAAAATGTTATTTAAGTAGCAACTGATGTAATTAGGATTCTAGCATTTATGATTTGGAGACCAGGGCAATTGAAATATATAGGAGTATGTGGTTGGTGTACTGTATGCCTTTAGTAATAGTGTTTTTGTTCTCCAAGTAGTATTCTTCTAAATAGAATTGTAATCCTTAAGGTCTGAATGGTTTCATCAATTAGATGGTATTATTGAGATTACCTGGCATATTGAATTGTCTTTTCGATTTTATTGTGGGTAGGGGTGCTCAAAATACCGACGAACCGTACCAACTCAATCCGAAAAAACCAATCTAAAACTCAACCTGAGGTAATCCGACACATAGTTGATATAAGATTAGACCAAACTGCATCTATTGGGTTAGAATTGAGTGAGGATCATTTTAACCCAACCCAACCCGATGCCTTTCTGTATGATGGATTTAATATGATTTTTAAGTCTTTGACTAACATATGTACATTAGACTAATCCGTAATTAGCTATATTCAAAATTATATTGCAATTTCAACCGTAAGTTTACGTTTTTATTGACATGAACCTTCAACTTTCTTTTTTGAGTTTGTTAGACTTTTTTGCATGTTACCATTTTGATTTTATTTCGTTTAAACATAAACAGCTAGGTAGATTGTAAATGATGTATCAAAGTTTCAACCCGACCAACCCAACCCAACCCGCACGGTTTGGTTGGGTTGGTTTTTATTTTTGCTTGGGTTGGGTTGGGTTGAGATTTTTCAAACCGCAAACATTGGGTTGGGTTGTTCAAATGCCTTCACCCCGGCCAACCCAACCCATGTGCAACCCTAATTGTGGGAGTGATCCTCAGGAAACAGTAGGCTTCTACGTCTCCTGGTCATCATCTCTTTTGTTGTTCCCCATAATTCTATTGTTTTGTTTTTTTCTTGCATCATCAGGTTTCTTGAAGAATGATGTTTATTATTGATGGACATTGTTGACCATGTTCTAATGTCTTAATAAGTATCCAGGGAACTTAGGGGGAGTTTGGGTCGCAAAATGGAATTTGGTGGACTTGGAATCCATCCAAGGAATTTGACTTGAAGGAATTGGAATGAAATTTGACCACATGTTTGGTTGGATGGAATTGTTGGAATCTTTGGGTTTGGGATATTCATGGAATGATGAAATCTTTAATCTAAGGAATTCAATGGAATTCAGAGGATTCTTATCCTACATTTTCAATATGTGAACCAAACATAGGAACTGGAATTTGGTCAAAGGAATTATCCATTCCAATTCCTCCAAAATTCTTGGGTGAAAGCACATGCTTACTCAAACCTTAAGAAACCTGCAACACCAATTCCACAATTGGGTTTGTTCAAAAACAAGATTTTGCTATGGAGGTGTGGTAAAGAAGGATACCCAGTTGTGAATACTTTCTGAAAGTAGTAAATTTGACAATTTAAAGTTGTGTGAGAGCCGAATTTTGTTGATTAAAGATGTTATAATGGATTTGATGGTACCTGGGAGGTCATTTCAAAGAGATGAATATCTCGAGTGAGGGCCGAAACACAGGTGGTGGTTGTTGGAATGCCATGGTAGCCATGTGATTGTTGTTGATTCGCCCTACTACCACCACCACCACCACGACCGGTGGTGGTTGGCTTGGAACAACATTCACCATACAAAAACTTTAGTGCGTCTCCCATCACTTGTAATTTACAATTTTACCCGCTTCTACTTCAAGATTTTTCTGATGGATTTCTCTAGAGGGGAGAGATAGGTCTACCTCTGGTTGGTTTGTTGGGTATTGGTAAAATAAACTTCACAAGTAATTGAAAAGGAGCGTTTGGGAGGAAAAGAATCATACCCAGGTGGATGTTTGCGACGTGTAGGTCTATGATTTGTTGAAGTAAGTGGGATGTTTATGGCGAGAGTCAAAGTCAGTGATCCACCAAATACCGCAATGTGAAACGTAGGAGGGAAATTTTAGGATACGGCTACCCCACCTTTTGAGATATAGACAGAACAAAATGGCCCTTGACGTTTGAATCTGAATGAAAAAGTATCCAATAACAAAGAGAAAGGTCTGGATCTTAAAATCCACATGGAATACCGACATTAAAGGTTGAATAATGCAGTAAATGTCAACGCACATGCCCACAGTTAATGCTTGATTTTCATCAATGAACGTGATCATCTACTTGCCTATGTGTTATATTATCCAATAGTCTACATGTAAAATGTAGTTTTGTTTTCATTTTGTTTTTTCTTGTCAAAAAACCATTGGTGAAACACTATCCAAATCTTGAGTGAATTCCCCACCCTGTTGGGTCCAGTTTCAACCAAGTGTGGCTTGAGGTGATGTGGCTAAAACACTTGACATTTAAAATTGAAAATTGAGATACGAGGTTGGGTCAGGATGTTGCTGTGATTTGCAGACTGTTGATGGAGGGATGAGATAAGATAAAACAAAAACTTGTTGTCCCACATATGAAAGAAGATTAGAGTGGAACATGACAGGACCGAGTAAGACAAAATGCATTCACAATAGGGAAATAAAAATCAGGGAATAACACAAGATTGATAGATTGCTAAACTGTCAATGCCAAATGGAAACCCTAAAACCTTTAACTATTTCTTCACCTGTCTGCTACCTTACTCTAGCCTGCTGAGCACAGTCCATTAGCGTACTAAAATGCACCAGTAAAGGAAAAAAATTGAAGTCACATGTGAATGAGTATGCCGGTAATTACTAAAAGATGACCAACATAAACCTGTTTGATACCGAGTTAATCGTTCTGATTTGGTTCAACTATTTGTATATTTCTATTTTGTTGTGGCATGTTCATGGACTCACAAAAGTATTTTTCGCAAAAAGTTATTTGTGCGTGATACGAATACGTATTAACAAAGTAGGTTTAACTTTTCACAAATTAGATTCAGGGCCATATTCGAGAGCGAGGTCATATTGCTCTAGCATCACCAGTCCTGAAAATAGCAATAAATTGTAAATTATAGGAACAAAAATCAAAATCTATAAACCATAGGGATGGAAATCGAAATTAGTAACATAGCTCAGGGACGAAAATTGTAATTTATCTTCCTAAAATAGTTGGTGGTACAGATAGAGAGATAGATTCTACCAATCTTTTTCGTGTTGGTGAACATGTGTAGGAGAAGCCAAATTGTACAAATCAGTTGAAAAAAGATAAAGATTTTTGCAGTTGATCTTCGTCTATAGCCCCCATCTTGAATTGATCTGCCATCTTGAAGCGCGAAACAACCTTAGGTTCCCTCCCTGGAGGAAACTTCGCCTGCGGGGAGGATGAGATAGGTTTTGGAAATTCAGGAAACTCGAGGGAAGGATGAGAGAGGATCGGGTTCGCATACTTCGTTTTAGTTTTTTTCGTCTTACAGTTACCCGCATTATGTCGATCTTGTCATTAATTGCGTGCCTTTTTATTTGGATTCTGCCAATAAGATAGGGTTAGGTTGGGATACTAAACTGAAAAATTAAATCAATGAATTAACTTACCTTTGTACACTTGTGATATTGGTCTATTTCCATGGGGTCAGGGTCTTTCATTTGAATATTGTATAAACTCAAATACATTCTTCAAGAACAAAGTTGATGATCAGAAGAGAGTAAACTGGAGTAAAATACAACTTTGAGTTACAAAAACAGTGTTGATGATCCGGAGGAGACGATGCAAAAATGAGTGACTCGGTGAGAAGATAAACCAAAAAAACTCTTTATATACCCCATCACGAGAACTTTTTTAAATTTGACATCATTAGAGCATCTCCAATTCTCTAAATTACATAAAATATCTCTATTTTATTCTTGTACTATGTTACTAATTTCGATTTGAATACAAGAAACAATAAGTTTGTGAATGGGTATATAAAGGGTTCTTTTTTGGTTTATCTTTTCACCGAGTCTCAAGTCTGCATCATCTCCTCCAGATCACTGTTCTTGTAACTTAGAGATGTATTTTACTCTAGTTTCTCTTTCTTCTGATCATCAACAATGTTCTTGATGCATTGGAGTTTACACAATATTCAAACGGAAGATCCCGACCCCATGGAAATAGACCAATATCACAACTGTACAGAGGTAATTTAATTTCTTGATTTAATTTTTCAGTGTAGTATTCTAACCCTAACCCTATCTTGTCGATGAAATCCAAATAAAAGGGCACGTAATGAAAGACAAGATCGATATAATGCGAGTAATTGTAAGACGAAAAGAACTAAAACGAAGCATGCGAACCGGATCATCTCTCTTCCTTCCCTCCAGTTTTCCGAATTTCCAAAACCCATCTCATCCTCCCGGCATTTGTTTAGGCAAAGTTTTCTCCGGGGAGGGAACCTAAGGTTGTTTTGTGCTTCATGGCAATTCAACTCAAGATGGGGGCTATTGACGAAGATCACCTGCAAAGATCTTTAATTTTTTTCAACCAATTGGTATAATCGGCTTCTCCTACACATGTTCACCAACGCGAAAAAGATTGGTAAAATCTCTCTATATACCACCAACTATTTTAGTAAGAGTAGATTACGATTTTCGCCCCTGTGCTATGTTACTAATTTCAATTTTCATCCCTATGGTTTAGGTATTGTGATTTTCTTTCCTATAATTTACAATTTATTGCTATTCTCAGGACTTGGCTATGACCTGCTCGAATCTGGCCCTGAATCTAATTTGTGAAAAATTTACGCACACCTATATTTGTGTAGCGCACAAATAACTTTTTGATACTTTTGCGAGTCTATGAACATGCCACAACAAAATAATTAAATTGTCTTTTTGTTAATTGATTATTACAAAATAAATGTTTTGTGGTGTCAAATCCATGACCAAACATGAGATTGGTATGGAATTCAATTCCAAATTCAATCCTGCAAACGGGAACTTAGGGGGCGTTTGGTTCGCATAATGGAATTTGGTGGAATGGGAATCCCTCAAAGGAATACCAACCACATTCGGTTGGTAAGAATTGGAACGGAATCTCTCAAAAGAATTGGGATCTCCATATTTGATTGGGGGGAAGGTAGGGGTAGCAACTGTGATGACTACAGTAGTGGCTTGGTG